AGTTTTAAGGGATACAATTATTGTCTACACTGGGACTTTAAGTAATATAATGTTAATAATCTACTTGAATTCCCAAAATCTTTAATTTAAACACAAAAATGCAATCACCCGTTGAGAAACACAACTGATCAATTTGTAGTAGATCTGACCTCAAAACGGTGTAATTAAATGGGCCTCCTTAAAACCAACTAGTCATTCAAACAACCCACCAATGAAAGCATATCGTTTTGCAGATCAGCAGATGAGCTTTATAAACATCAATGAAACATTCACAAATGTTTTTTTTTTTTTTTTTTTTGTAGGAGGATAACATTAGAGAGAAGACTGTTGGAAAAATTGCACCTCTGCATGATTATTGGCCCAATTCAGCTTTCAAACCAAAATCAGCCCAGAGGACAAAAGAACTCTTGCACATTTTTTGAACCACATTATCTTCAAATCTACATCACCACATGAAAGCCATTCCCTTGTCTATGTCCAGCCCAAGTCAACAACTCTCCCATTCCCCTTTTTGACAATCCATCAATAAAAACATTTGGACATGCTGAATTTGGTGCAAATGCAAATTGGATCCTATAATAACTGATTTGCAGGGTATTAAAAAGACAGCTGATTGAATTCTTTGAATAGCCCTGTTGTCAAAGTGTGGGAAAGCAGCACCCATGGCTTCATGGGATCGGAGAGAGTAGGCGGATTATACTGGAACCCAGAGCATTGATTCAAGAAGCTGGGTCTTAACAGGGCGTCACATTTGTTTAGTCTGGCCCTTTCCAACCTTATTACCATGAACTCGCATTAAGTCACATGGTCATTAGTCTGCGATTCTTTCAGACATTGTTAGGGGAATCCACTTAGAATGAGTTGTTCCTGTTGATAGTGCTGTATATTTGCACATGGTTTTAGTGCCTGAGTCACTATATATTAATTATGCAAATAAAGTAGCCCACGAAATCTGTTGAACACAATGCAGTTCCCCATCTTGCGGGTCGGTTCTGAGCGGAGAATACAGCAGACTACCGTTTTTTGGTGTATTTTGCTGGGACTCGTCTCTTTAAAATGTGCTCATTTACACACATCGGCATGTAAGTGTTTATTAGCAATAATAACTGTCTGACTGACTACATTATATTACTTATTACTCAGATACTCACCAAATAAATATGTGGACATGAAGTATTGGTTTGAGTTTAAGTAGTAAGTACAAGTTTATATTGTAAATGAAAAAGATCAAGATGAACATTACAACAATATTAAAGTAATTAAATTAATTAATATTGAAGTTCACTAAGGTCATTTTCACTTCAGTCCTATAATCGATAACTGAGATGCAAGATGGTTGCAGTTGCATTTGTATTAAATGAGGAAGCGAGTCTGTGGTGTGATACTAGACACAATAATAGGTTTTCAACATGGAAATGAAGATTCTGTTAACTATTACTCGCCTTCATGTCGTTCCAAACCCATAGGACTTTCGTTCATCTTCGAAAAACCAATGAAAATATTTTTCTTGAAACTTAAACGATTTCTGTCCCTCCATTGAAAGTCCATGTAACCAAAACTTTGATGTTTCAAAAAGTTCATAAAGACATTTAAAGTAATCCATATTAATAGAGTGGTTTAATCTATGTCAGGGTTTCGTAAGCCACTGGGGGTTCACGTGGTAGTTTTTTGAAAAGCTAATAATTAACATAATAATGAATTAAATGAAGAAAGATTAAATTGATGAAATATTTTATGTTTGCCCACATAACATGTGACCAACATCAGAGAACTGTGAACATTGAAATTATTGAAATAAATCTCAGGGGGTATTTCAAGTAAATGTTTTAGGTTAAAGTGGTTCGGCTGTCAAAAAGGTTGCGTGTATCAACGCATACACATAGAACGCATCAAATATGCTTTGCTTGATGCGTTGATCAATGTTTATATGTGAATAAAAGACTAAATGAAATCTGAACATCATATAAAGCGATCAAGTCTCTTCAGAAGACTTGGATTAAACCGCTCTATTCATATGGATTACGTTTTTGTGGAATAGACTTTCAATAGAGATACAGAAATCTATCAGGTTTCATTAAAAATATTTTCATTTGTGTTTTATACCAGCATGAATTTTAGGAATGCCACAAACAGAATGAAGTTTTCCAGAGAGCTGAGTTTAAAAGGTTGTACTGATCTTCTTATCTAATGACCTATTAATCAATAGAACATATACGCAAACATAATTTTTAAGTGAAATTCAGCTTAGGAAATCTTGAAATGGTAAATAATTTTTTTTATGTATTTTAAAATGAAATTTCAGTCATTTGCTCCAAAAAGAATGACTGACTTTATTTAAACAGTATTTCAGTCTAGTTAGCACCTGGTCCGACTGGATTGCGTGTGTTTAGTAAATAAAGCACAGTTTTGTGGTAAAACTCTGTGTGAAAAGTGGCGCTGTTTAGTGAATTTGCCCTTTTTATCCGTTAATGGGAAACAGAGCTCAAAACCCATCTGGAGCTGTAAAGTGGTTGGCTATTGTTTCCATTTTTTTTTTTTCTTGGGGGGGTTATTGAGGATGTTGTTTTTTTTAAGAGGAGGGGCCTTCCAGACATCCAGTTCACTGACATGCCGTGCCAGCCTTTTCAGGTTTCTCCCGCACTCGACTTTCCACAGGAAATGTTTTGAGGAAGTGAGAGTTGCTGATGTGACAGTTGTGAATAGTATTGTCAGATTACAGCATGGTGCTTAAAATGTTACACAACACAGAATCATGAGAAAGACACTCAGACCGTGACCTCGGAGGCCCTGGCTGTTTCTGGTTGCGGCGCAGTGGGCGAACATAAACACACAGGTGTGTTTACATAGCAGTTCGAAGAAGACCCGGATGAGAGTTATGTCAATAGTAACATTGGTAACTTCCTCAGGTGTCTGACCCAAAGAAGCGTTTCTATTGTTCTTCGGGCTTATCATCTGTTCTACACTCAGTCCTTAAACCGCAATAATGACTCAATGGCTCCAAGTGTTCGTGATTCACTGTAGATGAGTGAGTTATAGCAATTGGGGAAATGGTGCAATATGTATGCAGAGTCCAAAATGAACCACCTAATGGTGGGTGAAATGAGAAAATGTACTAGCTATACATATGTTACTGACTATGAAACTGTATTTTTGCATTTTATATGTACTCTATCATTCAAAAGTTTTGGGTCAGACTGTCGGTGATCAGATCTGACACTTTAAATTGATTAAAAGTGACAGGAAATACATTTGTATTCTTACCAAAGATTTCTGTTTCAAATAAATGCTTTTCTTTTAAACATTCTGTTTTATCAAGGAACACTGAATATCACAGTTTTCCACCAAAAGTTAAGAAGCACAACTGTTTTCAACATCGGTAATAATAAGAAATGTTTCTTGAGCAACACATCAGCGCATTGAAACTATTTTTAAAGGATCATGTGACACTGAAGACTGAAATGATGCTGAAAAATGCAGCTTTGCATAATAGGAATAAATTACACATTCTAATAGAAAACGTTGACTTTTTAAATATATATATATATATATATATATATATATACACTCACCGGCCACTTTATTAGGTACCCCATGCTAGTAACGGGTTGGACCCCCTTTTGCCTTCAGAACTGCCTCAATTCTTCGTGGCATAGATTCAACAAGGTGCTGGAAGCATTCCTCAGGGAGTTTGGTCCATATTGACATGATGGCATCACACAGTTGCCGCAGATTTGTCGGCTGCACATCCATGATGCGAATCTCCCGTTCCACCACATCCCAAAGATGCTCTATTGGGTTGAGATCTGGTGACTGTGGAGGCCATTTTAGTACAGTGAACTCATTGTCATGTTCAAGAAACCAATTTGAAATGATTAGAGCTTTGTGACATGGTGGAAGTAGCCATCAGAGGATGGGTACATGGTGGCCATAAAGGGATGGACATGGTCAGAAACAATGCTCAGGTAGGCCGTGGCATTTAAACGATGCCCAATTGGCACTAAGGGGCCTAAAGTGTGCCAGGAAAACATCCCCCACACCATTACAGCACCACCACCAGCCTGCACAGTGGTAACAAGGCATGATGGATACATGTTCTCATTCTGTTTACGCCAAATTCTGACTCTAACATCTGAATGTCTCAACAGAAATCGAGACTCATCAGACCAGGCAACATTTTTCCAGTCTTCAACTGTCCAATTTTGGTGAGCTCTTGCAAATTGTAGGCTCTTTTTCCTATTTGTAGTGGAGATGAGTGGTACCCGGTGGAGTCTTCTGCTGTTGTAGCCCATCCGCCTCAAGGTTGTGCGTGTTGTGGCTTCACAAATGCTTTGCTGCATACCTCGGTTGTAACGAGTGGTTATTTCAGTCACTGTTGCCCTTCTATCAGCTCGAACCAGTCTGGCCATTCTCCTCTGACCTCTGGCATCAACAAGGCATTTCCGCCCACAGAACTGCCGCTCACTGGATGTTTTTTCTTTTTCGGACCATTCTCTGTAAACCCTAGAGATGGTTGTGCGTGAAAATCCCAGTAGATTAGCAGTTTCTGAAATACTCAGACCAGCCCTTCTGGCACCAACAATCATGCCACGTTCAAAGTCACTCAAATCAACTTTCTTCCCCATACTGATGCTCGGTTTGAACTGCAGGAGATTGTCTTGACCATGTCTACATGCCTAAATGCACTGAGTTGCCGCCATGTGATTGGCTGCTTAGAAATTAAGTGTTAACGAGCAGTTGGACAGGTGTACCTAATAAAGTGGCCGGTGAGTGTATATATATATATACATACAGTATTACTGTTTTACTATATTTTTGATCAAATAAATTCAGCCTCGGTGAGCGGAAGAGTCTTCTTTCAAAAAGATGTTCTGATGAATCTTACCCCAAACATTTGAACAGTAGTAATTCACCTAAATGTTGACATTAATTAAATTTGCAACAATACAGTAAAGTGTGAACCCTGACTGTATGAAATCTGTTTTGTTTTTTTGGGCCTTCAGTATCTACTGAGGAGGACTCTGGGTTTGTGACAGCGGCGCTGGGAAACACATGGAGTCACTGTGTTAACACACGCCTCATTGTCCAGTATGAAGACACAGAACGGAGACAGGTAAACACCCTTTTACTCCTCTGTGCGAATTAGCAAAATTTTGTTTGCCATAACGAACAAAATTCAAAACCAACCAAAAGACACCTAACCAAGTGACCGAAATATTTAGTAGATATACTCATTAAAAATATAGTTATTCTCTTGCGGAAAAATGGACCAAAGGTACTGATGACATCATTTTGAACCACACCGTGTTTTTGTCCAATTAGATTCTCTAGAATGATAATGTCCCTCCCCTAATAGAGTGCAACAGTTGGGTTCCAGAAGTTAACATTCTGTTCATTTCCTGTTTCTGTTCATAGGGACATTTATTTTTGACAAAAACGTATAAACCTTTAAAGACACACCTTTTGTGAGCTACGAATTTGTAGTAGAAAACCACATCACCCATGATGCTGTACAGAAAACTCCACCAATCAGAAGCTATGTTTCCATCCACACGTTTTTATCCGCATTAAGTGATATCGAATAAAAAATGCCTTATGGAAACAGTAAAATTCGATTGAATTTCATGAATATCGACTCAAATGAAATACGATCGGTCTCATCGGATTTTATCTTGATCGATATACGGCTTATGCGATAAACGCGGATGGAAACGTTGTTATGGTGCAATCCATTTTGCCTAGTAAAACTTTGTTCGCAAATGTTGGCTTGAATGTTGTGCAATTCGGTGAGAAAATGAATGGAAACACCTTAACATGTCTCAAATCAATTCGATATACCAATTTGATCGCAAAACAGCATGTGACGTCTTTACGCACAGGTTTTTATCCGCTTTAAAGCCGTTTGATGGAAACACACTTTCACCAGCTTTATTCGCATGACTTTTTTTTACCGAACTTCAGATAATTCGATTGACAAGTGGATGGAAACATGGCTAGTGTCACGGCATTCAAATCATTGTGTTATTGTCTCCCTATGCTCTCAAAATAGTTGTATACATATGCGCATATTTTGCAATAAACTTAAAATATGTTGTTTCCATAGATAATCAACACCTTTTTGATATTGCGATTCACCCTCTGGTTCAAAAATAAATCAAAAGAGACTTCTAGAACCAATGCAACTTAAAAAGTGGGCCATCTGCAAGTAGCAAATCATGATTCAGCAAATACTTTTTAAAGGACACTATCTTCAATTTGTCCCCTTAAACTTCCTGCTTCAACAGGAAATACGTCAACACAAGCAAATAAAACTGCACACATCCAGCGATTTCATCTTTAAGACAAGCTTGAAAGAAAGAAAACGTCTTACTCCACCACCCCTTTCATTGTCTCGGTCTGCCCTACTTGTTTTCGTCCTGTCAAATAATGGCATACCTCATTGCCCGTACACCCTTAGAGCCCTGAAGACTTTGTTTTTCTCTTTTCCGACTGAGCTCCCACCTAAAGAAAGGCACACTGATAGAGAGGCAGTGGTCCAAAACTGCTGGTACACAAGGAAGGCAATGGTGCCTGGCTCTTTTGTGCGGTTCAGTGGCTCTGGCAGGGCCACTTCAGTGAAAAAAAAAAACCTCAGAAACTCCCTGCTTTTCCGCCATTTACTGTGGATGTTATCCATTAGAGGTAAAGTCATACTACTTCATATGTGAAAGATGTGCGTTTGGGTTAAAGTGAGGGGAACTGGGCTGGTTTGGGTGGCTGAAAAGCTTTGCGTCTGTGTGTCACGGCGCATCAGTGAGGAATCGCATTCACACAAAGCAACTGGCAGCAGGTTTGTAAAAACTAACTCATTCTTAACCACAAGTAACAAGATATCCCTGCAAAGACGAAACTAAGAAAATGCACCAGTTTATTTTTATACAAATAAGCCTAGAGCAAGTCTTGCCGTCTGTGGATGGTTAACTTGAGACGGAAATGCCTTTCATTTCATGAGTACACAAGTTATAAAGCAGTCATATTAGGCAGAAGGCACAAACGCTTCATTTGTTTACTTTGGTTTGAGGGATCTGATTCATTTCCGATTAATGTTTTTACGCAACAGTTACCAGACAGTTTCACCCTTCACCTCACGCCTGTTTCCTCTTTTGAGTTTTGTTGAGTAGTTTTCACTAAGGTATCTCATTTTGAACAAGACGCACCCCTAGTGCAGGGTTTCCATGTTAGAGGCTGATGACAAAAGGAGTAATGTAGATTCACCAGAATCTCTAATAGGCTTTGACGCAGGTTGCCGGCAGACACTGCTGAGTCTGGTAACCCAATGCTGCTGCTTCCCTAAAGGCTGTTTTCCAGGATCCTATGCTTGCTTTTATGCCCATTGACGTAGCAGCCAGATAGATGCCCTTTTTTGTTGCATAAGGGGAAGGAGTTCAGACATGTTAAATAATGAAGTGCAAGTAGGGTTATTGATTTAGTCTGATACATTTAGTAAAAACAAACAAAAAAAGTGCTTTATTTTCTGAAGTACTTTTTTTTTGTTTTTGCTGTGGAGTAAAGATATAAAATAATATCATATAAATATAACCAAAATAAACAATGCATTATCTTCTAAAGCCATTTTTTAATTCAGTGATTCACTTCAGTACTTCAAAATAATTACCACAATAATAATGTAATGCCTTTTATTGTTTTTTTTTCATTTTTTTTTTCATTTGGGGTCTTCCCCCCCCCCCCCCATAAGTGTGTGTGTGTGTGTTTGTGTGTGTGTGTGTTCACTATTATTCAAAAGTTTTTATATTTATATTTTATATGCAAGACATTGTTACAATATATATATATATATATATATATATATATATATATATATATATATATATATATATATTTCTTTTTTTTTTTTTAAATAAATGTGTTGTTCTTTTGAGCTTTCTGCTCGTCAATGAATCCAGAAATATTAAGCAGCACAATTGTTTTCAACATATGATAATAATCAGAAATGTTTCTTGAGCAGCAAATCAGCATATTAGAATGATTTCTGAAGGATCATGTGACACTGAAGACAGGAGTAATGATGCTGAAAATTCAGCTTCACCTTCAAATGAATAAATTACATTTTAAAATATATTAAAATACATCTTAAAATTAGGGAAACGAAAATTCTGGGCCAAAACTGAAACCGAAAATTCTCGATGCAATTACCCTTTTTAATAAAAAAAAAAAAAATGTTTTTGTGTATAATTGAATTAATTAAAGACTTTAATTAAATTCAATCATTTTATTGAGCCTGATTTTAACACACCAAAATTGGATAGAAAATATATTAAAATATTAAATATCAATATATTATGCTTCATTCAGTTCTATGCAACATAATTAGATTTAACAGATCAAATTTTTGACCAATTATCAAAATGAAGTATAGTCCTAGAAAACGATCATTATCAGAGCATGTGAGCAGATGGCAGAGAGCGGATCAGGGAACGAGAGGGTAGCGTCATTTTACCAGCGTTGCCCAGCACGGCTTTACCACAGCATGTTACAGAACAGTATAGGGCTATTGCAAACAGAAACGGGACTACTACTACTACACAGAAATTTCATATTGGGACATTATTTGCTAACAGACAATTATTTGCTTTTCTGGTGAGCGTAAGAGAGTACATAAGTGGAGCGTTTGCTTGGGCCGGCGACTGAGCAGAGAGCTTTTTTCTCTTTCGGCCCAAATCCAAAAAAATGCCATTTATGGAACTTTTAGTGGATCCCTATTTAAAATAGAAATAGAATTGACAGTATTTTTGATTAAATAAACATAGCCTTGGTGAACATAAGAGATTTCAAAAACATTAAAAAAAATGACTGACCCAAAACCTTTGAACAATTGTGTGTAATTATTAAAATAATCATTGTGATTAGTAATTAGTTAGTTCTGGCATGAAACTAGATGGTGCAGGCTGAAAGGTCTTTAACTCATTTTGTAACGATCACATCATTATCTACATAGCACAGCTGATTGGTTGCTGTTGCATCAGCGGCCAATGAGCTGCAGCTCAACATTCAAACAAACACCGGTAGTGTTGCTGTTAGGAGTCTGCAGCGTGCTTTCAGAAACCCTCCAACTTCCCCAGCTCCACCTGTATAGATCTGCTAATGGCCATATCTTGCGAGAGTTGTCATGACATAATTAGAATTACTTTGATTAATATATTAATTGAATGAATTAAGTCTATTGTCAGCCCAATTATTAGCGATTACACTTTGGCCTTGTATTGATACCGTGGCCAATGAGTGACATTGAGCCCTTCTCTTACTACTTCTACATCTCTTCTTGTTTCTTGTTTTAGATTATCATTGCCAAGTCTCCCGTGGCCCCTTTTGCTGTGCTGAGCTACACTGTTCAGAGGGAGGGCATCCGTCTCGAGGGTGAGTGTGCTTGAAGAACACTGTACTAACAAAACTGAACCTTAAAAACATGACACCAGTGTAAGGCAGGTAAGGACATGTTATGAAGTGGAAATGAAAATGATAGGAATTGAAGTGAAAAATGAAGTGCGCAGGAACTGATTTTAGGTGACATAAAATTGACATATTGAAATTGTTTATGTACACATCCTCAAAAAGTATATGTATAATTTATTTCAAAGGGGTCCTATTATGCTTTATACATTTTTAACTTTCTGTAAAGTTTAATGTTGCTGTTTGGGCATAAAAAAAATCTGCAAAGTTACAAAGCAAAGTCACTCCAAAGGGAGTTAGTCACTGTTTCTGAACTCCCTAAAACTGTGTCATTGTAGTCTTGAGTTTTCTTCCGGTAACATACACATCATAATATTCATCATTTAAAGGGGTCATGAACTGGCTTTTTAATTTTTTTTATATTGTTGTCTGAGGTCAACTTATGACGTTCGCTTGGTTTTTACATTCAAAAACATCAAAATGAATAAGTAATAGGCTATTTTCTACCCTAGTTTTGAGCCTAGCTCAAAAACGCTCGGTTTTTATGGGCGTCTCGCATTGAAGACTTGGAAGTAAACGCCCACTGCTGTGAGTGGATAATAGTTTTGCATATTATAATGAGTTTCGTGTAATGCGCGAATCGGTGGGCGGGGCTAAACCGTCCGTGTTGAAGTAGGCGTTGATCTTCTTCTGCGGGGGTTGGGGTGTTTTATCCTCTTTGTCGTCATAGTTCCCCACTTTGAAAAACAAGTCGTTTGCTGAGCCTGGTGTCAATAAAAGCTTTTATTGGACTAACAAGGACGTTTTCAGTTCTGAAACTTACAGGATATTCTTATAATATGATGACCTCTTAGATGTCAAAAGCTCAAGGAAAATTTGATTTCTCAGTTCATCACCCCTTTAAATAATTTCCGCTCAAATCATGCTAAATAAAGGGGGTGAGGCCTGTTTGTGTTTCTTTAGTAGTGTGAAACTCGCGGTTATGGGAAGGGGTTGGTTTCCCAAACACGCTCAAAGCGGTTGACCAATCACACAACGTTACAGACAGACTGGGAATAGAGGTGCTGCAACAATGTAAAAAATAATGTGGTTTTTGAACATTCAAATGTATTGTTCTAGTGGACCCTAAAAACAAAATCAAGACTTTGAAAAAGGGCATAATAGCTCGCCTTTAAGGTTTAGATTTGTTTGTCATGCAATGTGTATTTCAGTTGTTGTTCTATGTCTTCAGTTGTTCGACTCAGTTGTTCGTTTTTAGTAACTGAAAGTCACACGGTTTATTTTAGTGTCATTAATCGGAATCCTAAAAAGTACCGTGGTTGGTTTTTCAAAAAGCTAATAATACAAGTACAGTCATTTGTGCGTGTGGTTTGTGTTGTTAAACCTTCTGGGTCAGAACTTCTGCCCACTGCAGTTTAACTTCCAGGACCTCTGGCTGTCCTGTCAGGATCATTTGAATTCATCCGTGGGCTTCACAGTTTACCTCGGGGCGGTTTGTGTGGATTCCCAACACCACAAAACTTTAATGGGAAACAGGATATCAGAGGAAAAACACAGTTGGGGCTGTTTTGGCTCTTCAGCAGAGGTTTATGGTGGTATATATGTGGTGGACTTTTAACAGCACTTGGAGAACAATTCAAAAGTAATTCACCTTGATGTACTCGTTCATTCTCGGGTTTGGAATGGAAGTAGTTTGCTTGTGCAGTTTTACTTAAAGCTATGATTGATATCAGCGGTATCAGTTCAGCATAAACTAATAACAATGAATAATCGAACAGCTCACACTTCCTGTTGACGCCTGTCTCATGCTGATATGAGCTCACATTCAGGAGCTTGTTCTTGTTTTTGCTGGGTTTTATTAGAGGAAGCAAGTACTAAATTAGCACATTCGGTGCTTTTGTTTAGAGAGATGCTGTGGATTTTGTCTGGGAAATTAGTGTAGCGCAAAACATTTAAGGCCGCAACAAACTACTATTCTGATTTTCTATTAATTTTATTTAGTTGATTAATAATCAAAATAATTAAAGGTTATTCCACATGAAATGCAACATGTGAAAAGTTAGAGAATCTTCTGCTGCTGAAGAACCTGCCACATTTCCTTTAGAAATGGAGAATATACATTTGTCCTTTGTCATTGAAAGGTTTAGGGTTGCAAGATTTGTAAAAAAAAAAAAAAAAAATAATAATAATTAAGTCCCTTATGGTTACCAAGACTGCATTTATTTTATCAAAAAATACACTAAAAACAAAACATTTTGTGAAATATAATTACAATTTAAATGTTCTATTTTAATACATTTTAAAATGTAATTTCTGTGATGGCAAAGCTGAATTTTCTTCAGTGTCACATGATCTTTACTATCACTTTTTATCAATTCAATTTGACCTTGCTTAATAAAAGTATTAATTTCTTTCCCATATATATATATATATTTGCACTGCCCCCCAAACTTTTGAACGGGAGTGTTTACTTTGTGCATTTTATAGGTTACAAATGTGCTTAGATTAGCCAAATGTCAATAATTTACTTACAGTTGTGCAATATTTAAAAAAAGGATTATCCAATTTTTTGAATGTTGGAGCATAGATGATATGGTAGTAATGATGGTAGATGTTATGGTAGTAAAGAACCTGAGAAAACAGAAGTCGAAGTTAAAATATGTGGTAACACTTTATTTTAAGGTGACAAAGTTACACTTTACTACATGTACTTACTATAGTAATAACAGTAAATTATGCATAATTACAAGTAACTAACCCTAAACCAAACCCATAACTCTATAATAAGTACATGTACTTAATTAATATCACTCAGTGCTTATTTGAGCAAGTACAATATAACTACGTCACCTTAAAATAAAGCGTAACCAAATATTTATTTAATATTTTCGGTTTAAATTTTCACCTCAAATGTGTCGTGAATTTTTGGTTTCAGTCAAGAATTTGTTTTTCGTTGTATCACTACATCTAAGCAATTCCCTATTTCTGTACTTTGCTGACAAAGCTTCTCTATGAAGAGATTGTGTGGTTGTGCATCTTTGTGTTGGAGAGTGAGAAAGTCTTGTGTGTGTCCAGCTCAATCCAGCTATTGAATAGTTTTGCTGTGGTCTGGCTCTCTGCATCAGTTGTGTTAATCAGTCTCTCTCTCAACAAGTGCATCTTTGATGTGTGGCTCGCAAAGCCTGCCAGCTTCAAATAAAGACCCTGTATGAGAAAGACCTTTGAAACACTCTTCACACACTTCTCTCAGAGCTTCTTACACGACGTCCTCAAGTCAATCGCACACGCATGCACTAATGCTTCCTGCCAATATTTGATATCAACACGCCTCTGTACTTCACTTTAATCCAGAAATGATTATTGTTGGTTACTGGTGTGTTGGTGATGCCAAAAATGCTAATGCAAATTATTGAAATAGTAGAAACCTCAACTTCCTCATCTGAAACAAACACCTCTTCCTCCAATTCCGTTTTAAAATATGATTTATTTCTGCCATTCCATTCTTCAGTGTCACATCATGACTCTTCAGAAATCATTCTAATATGTGTTGCTGCTCAATAAACATCTCTTATCATTACCCCAATCGAAAACTGTGCTGCTTAGTATTTTTCTGGAAACGCATTCCAAAAACAGCATTTATTTGAAATAATTTTTTTTTTATAACATTTATGTTTGATCAATTTAATGCAACCTTGCTGAATAAAAGATTTTCGGTAACAGTTTATTTTAAGGTTACATAGTTACACATGTAACATATACTAACTAGGGGTTGCACAGACCAGTCGACTTTAAGCTCGACGTTGACTAGTCGCTGATCATTCATGGCCTATAGAGGGCGCAACAGGATAAGAAATCGTTGAAGTCCACTTTTACGCTCAGTTTCCAACAGTTAAAATAACAAATAAATGCCATAGAGTTTCAGCTCGAGGTTAAGGCTTATTTGTTCATTAATGACGTCATCAGCGACTAGTCGACTCGATTTGAATCACATAAATGTTGACTTAAAAAAATTTGAAGTCGTAATATGAACTCTAAATGAAACTCCTAATACGTAATAGTAAAAACAGTAAATCTTGCATACAAGTTATTAACCCTAAATAAAGTTATTTCAAATAAACCTTCAAATAAAGTGTTCTATATCCACTAGTTGACTAGGCGTCTCGAGTCAAGTCTCTTTTTTTAAAACAATTTTTAACGCGACAACTGCTTAAAGACATAAAACTTCTCTCATTTATATATAAAAAAAGGAAAAATAAAGTGTTCTATATCAACTAGTTGACTAGGCGTTTCGAGTCAAGTCTCTTTTTTTAAAACAATTTTTAACGCGACAACTGCTTAAAGACATAAAACTTCTCTCATTTATATATATAAAAAAGGAAAAATATACACTTGACATGAATAGTTTGGCACTTAACCTTTAATTATTTAGCATGACATACCAGTCAACTCTGCCTTATCTTGATAAATGAGCTCATTACTTCTAACTCATTATATATTGCTGTTATTCTTACATGTTGCGTAACTTCCTTTGCCATAAGTCATGAGACATTTTTATGTGATTTTTGAAGGAAGTTGTGAGATGATCAGTTAATCTCAGCGTTTAAACTTTCCAGTAAGCCTCAAGTCAATGTTCCTGCCAAGACACAAAACCATAGGCACTCTTACACCAGATCTTGTCAAAACATTTTTAGACATGAACAATTTTCACCATCTGTCACATTTACATATTAGAGGGACAATAATATTTTTTAATTAATTAATATTTATATTAAATAATATGCATTAAAGGTACAATATGTAAGATTTTTGTAAAATATCCAAAAATTACTTGCACAGTGTGATATATTTCCTGCAGTTGTGTACTTACAATATCCCAAAAGTTCCCAAAGATTTTTAAATAATGGCTCACTTGTCACCTGTCAATGACGTAATATCCACGTTATGCCTAGTTTCCGCTTGTACTGCCA